GGGAGGCGGAAAATGCATTACGCATACCACGATAGCCGGTCTATCGTGGTTATGGGGGACTCACTGTCCTACCGGGGACCCTAAGTGATACCCCCTAAAAACCGCCTTTAGGGACAGGCAACCGGCTGATTAAGCTCTATTGTGCCTTATCATGAGCGACCCTCTTTTGGGAAAAGAGGGGCGCAGGCGGCTAAGTGCCGCTGAGGGAGTGCCTACGAAGGCAAATTAATGTCAGATATTACAATAATTTTATTTAATTAGAGTTGGCCTGAGCTGCCAGGAGACAGTTCAGGTCGTTTGAAAGTTTATTCGGCGGGGCCGAGAGAGATTTCTCGGCCTGCGGACACGATAGCGAGAGGGGGGGGGGGCTGCATAAGAAGCTGCCTCACGAATTAAGTGGTTTGGGTGCGACTCTGAGGCTTTGAAGAAGTTCTCAGAGAGTTTTTTAAGAAATTGCTGAATTGTTGGGAGCTCTAAGTCCCGATGAAGGTCGGCATTGCGGACGTACCACGGTGCGTTCGCAGCTCGACGACAGAATAGGTTCTGAACTATTTGGAGTTCATTTAAAATGTTAGGGTTTGCGTGGGCAAAGACGGGGCCCGCGTAGGACCTGTCAGGTCACCTTTAAACGCCAGTATTTATAAGTCTAAGTTTGATTGTGTGTGTGCGCGTGTTCGTCTCTCTCTCTCTCTCTCTCTCTCTCTCTCTCTCTCTCTGTATGTGATTGATACCTATTTCTCATCCGTAGGTTTTGAATTTTTCTTAAAATTCACATGAAATCAAGGATTGTTAACCTCTGAAGGAAAATAAACATATAACTAGTTTTATTTATCTTTACAGCTACAGAACATACATAAAAACACACACACGTCGAATAGAGAACATTCTCATTTTTTAACTTGGTTAATAGAGTAAAATAATGATTCTTACATTTTCGCGAACAATAAGACTCATTTTGTGGGTTTTATCATGTTAATTTTTAATATTTCCTGAAGTTTGGAGCGCTTTGTAGCACCCACGACACGTTACAAAGGGGGAGGGTCTAACTTGCTTGACGTCCCGATTTCAAGGATAATCCAATTAATTTTAGCTTTTGAATTATTAATTTTGGTCCAATATATGCAATATGAATTTACCGGGGCTTCAAATCTCGCAGTAGCATGCTTGACTTTGGCTTTAATTTTATTACTTATAAAATGTCAAGCAGGTGATCAACTAATCGTATTAAAATTAGGATTTTTTTCAGTTCAAGCCGCCTTTACTAGAAATAAGACCTCTCAGTCATCAGAAATTACAATAAATTTGTTAATCATAATTATTATATTATCAGAAATTATGATTCTTAATAGAGGAAAGATAATAAAATAAAAACGAAACTTAATTATTGTGATAACTTGAAAACTATTATGGGTTTCCATCAAGTTACGGCGTTAAGAGATGGATAGCAGCATCTTTTTGACAAATACCATAAAACAATAAAAATGCAGTTGCTAGTCCACCGGTCAAGAAAAGCAATTATGAAAAATAAAAATTGTACGCCAGACAGAATATCGGTCACGGAAGTCAATCTCAGTGGACATGTTTTCTGATGAATTTGCGCAGGACAGGATTATAGTGCACGAATTTCACGCATTCGATGCAAGATAAATTGAATTTCCTATTATTGAACTCTCATAGTCTTATAAAAAGGCAATCCGACATAACCGGAGCAAGATTAGACGCATGAATTAACTGTGTTGAAAGAACGACAACTTTCTGAATCCGGTCTGCCCGTTCATTTCTTATGAACTGATTACCTGATTTTTGATTAGAACTGAATATTTGAATCCGAGACATAAGCCGCAGACGTGCTTATGACGTCTAAACTAATGAGGTAGTCAAATCTTTGTAAATGACCTATGTCCGGTGGACCTTTGATTGGTAATGATTTAATGAAATGAATTATCGTAATTATCATAGTTCAACGAAACGATGCATTTCATCTTATACCTCAAGGGTAAAAACGCATCTGCATTTTGATTCTTTATCAAATACAGTCTTTTGGCCATAGTATCTATTTACCACCAGGTGGATCGTGTGCTCGTTTTTTCACCCTCATATTTATTAAAAGTATTTACTAGCAGTAACAATTGAACAAATTCTTTTGCAAAGAATACAATAACTTAAATTATTTAAAAATAATGAAATGAAGCAACGAAATGAATGTTTGAATAACAAAGCAAAACTTACCTTTGTTAAGACTAACAAGTTAGAATAATTTAAAAAATAAGTGACGTGTGTTTCTGAATACCTAATAATGTTGTATTATTCTGTTCTTTCCAAACTTGCTTTTGTTAAGAACGTGCAACTTGTTGTATACGTATCGTGATTTAGGTTACTAATAGTACGATTACTATAAATAAAATTTGTTAAATTATTATTTTTAATACATTTATCTATAATTATAAATATTTATTTTATAATGATTTCTTAAATTTACGCCAACACTATGACGGAAAAAACTAATTTTACGGATTTTATCGCGTTTTAATTTTAACTTTTTTAACGCCGGATGTTTCGGGCACTTTCCGGCACCCATGTTCACTTAGGAGATTAGGTGTGTGATCCCGATTCCCGATGACATAGTCAACGAAGGCTACCTTCAACTTTTAATTATTAATTTTTAGTCCGATCTACGCTGACCCGTCATAATCAAAATCGTAAAAATTTCAAAGTACGCGAGAAACCTGAGTTGGATCCCCCGCAGTTGGATTACCATGTGTTCGGCGGTAAAGGAAAAAATCGTAAGGAAATTTGCATGTCTGAAAAATAAGAAATAAAATATTTCGAAGGCATGTGAAGTTCGCCAACACGCATTGGAACAGTGCGGTGGACATTTCTTTGCTCTAAAACAATCTCAAAAATGTGAGACGGCCTGTGCCCAGCAGTGGGACCTATATAGGCTATAACTTTTTTAACTTCGCAGAGCGAGCTTGCAATATCATGAAGTATTGTTATAGTATGTTTGGGTTTGGATTTAATTTTACTAATTGTGTGATGCCAAAAAGACGGTAGTAACCAGCCATCTTCTCTATTGAAATTAGGAGTTTTTAATTTCAATAGCCTCGCGAATCAACCTTCGTAGGAATCAGTGTTCTCTTGCAAGGATTTGTGGTCTATCAAATCCACTAGTATTAGAAGCGAATTCCCTACTCAATGTCGACCAAATTGCGTAATAAAATGAGAAACGAAAAAACGAGGGAGATTAGAAACGTCTTTCTGATAACAACTTAATAATAATAAAATAGCTGCATTTGCCTACACATACGCCAAGCAAATGAACAATGACGTAGTAATTTCTCATTAGTACCTAGTATTTAAAATAATTTTGGATATGTCATGCTTTTGTATTTACAGTTCTTCTTTTTCTTCATCAACCTGCAAAAGTGCACCTACTGGACCTGAAGCGTCCGTAGTTTTAGGCTTTCATGCTTGGTAGGTGGATATGAATTAAGCAGTCTATCCTGAGCTAAAATGTGTCTCCGGTATTTGTCGCAGTCAGATCTCTTATGACTCCTAGAAGATAAAATGGCGTAACAGATTCTATTATGCCGCCACCAAACGCCAAATCTATACATATAAAAAATTTAAGTGTTCATCTGTTATATTAAAATAACTGCCTTTTAGAGTTATTTGCATGTCATTAAGATGTTAATAATCATTTGCAGAATTATCGGAGAAACTTGGAGAATTTTTCGTGAAATGGACGAATTGATAAAATATCAGGTAATCAGAATATAATGATTTCTTTTATTCACCCAAACACTAAAAATTAAATGAAACAAATTTTACGGATTTTTACCGCAATTGATTTTAACTTCTTAATACCCGACATTTCAGGTGCTTTACAGTACCCATAATCACGAAGAGACTGAGGTGTTTGACTGTCCTATGTCATAGTTATCCCGGCTACGCTCAACTTTTAAATATTATTTTTGGTCCAATCTACGCAAAACAAGCTTACAGTATCTCGAACTTTTGCAGTTAGTAGGTTTATCCTATGTAAGAGAAACCACATTCAGAATGAAGCAAGTATACCCCTAAATCTTGTAGAGATGCTAAAAATATTACACTTTATCACGGTAAAAATTTACTCATTTTCCTCAGCAGTATGTAGCAGGTTTAAATGGATGCTTGCTTCAAGATGTAGCCAATATTGTCTGTAACTCCTCTGAAATATGGCAAAAGAGCTGAGAGAGAAGAAAGGATACGCTCGACTGTGGCCAGTTTCATCATTCATTCAACATTTATGATTATTTTAAAATTTTAATGACGTCGCGTCAATAGATCTCGTCATGACTCTGTTGGGGCTGGTTACGAGTATATAATAATTATGAAACGCGATCAGATCAACTATCCTCTGCTTAAATTAGGTTCTAAAATATAAAGAATTACAATGTGTATTTAAGTAATGGTAGCTCTCACTCTAGCATATTGTACTACACAGCGAATTTTGTCAACAAACGACCGTCATTCTCACAAATGTGTCTTTTAAATAGCGATAACTAAGCCAGCAGCTTTTTTTATCTAAACTACCAAGCAAAATTTCAAAATAAAGTAGCAGTACAATTTGTCTTTATAGAGGCGATCCTAAGCCGCTTAAATTATATCGCGACGGAAGTCTGTTCAACGGAACTCTATCCGGATAATTTAAATGTTTAAAAGCATTGTGAGTATTTTACCCAGAATTTAGTTGATAATAATTAGTATTTACAAATACTTATTATAGAATATACGACATTAATATATTTTTTAAAAAAATGTAATTTATAAGGAATTAAATAAATGAAACCAATAAATTATATTACAATTAAATTAGATTTATAAATAACAATTAAAATACGCATGTTTTAAGACATTCATCAAGTAATTATAACAATTTACAAATTAGCATTTATCCATGAAACAAAAAGCCGTCACACGAGTATAAACTGAAGGTAATCCTCTTTGGCAACCATCACCTAGGCCAAAAAGAAACAATCCCAACCTGTAAAAAAATATAAATTTTCTTATAATGATATACAATATAAATATAAAACAATATAATCATGATAAAATTATAAAACTAAAACTTAATCACCCTATAGCCCTACTTCCCACGGTTTAGTACCAAGAATATCGGTTCCGTTTTCATATAATTTTATAACGACTGAAATGTCTAAACTTGTCTAATTTAAACAACTAACACAACTTTGTTTGTTATTTTCTACGTACCTGTAGAATTAATGGCATTTATCCAATAACAATAAAACTTAGGTGAGGTGTAGTGTGCGCTCTCATGAAGGATTCTAACGAAAAATTATACTATACAGGGTTACTTTGCAATTATTCAGAATAAGTAATATAGGTGAATAGTGAAGAAAAATAAAAAAAAACCTCAAAAATTCTGTCATTTTTATCTTTTCAATTCAAGTGCTTCGTAATGCATTATTTTATCTGGTTTTCATTCATAAATATCTAACGATTACTATTTTATGTACGCACACATTCGTAGTGTTCGCTCGGTAAGGTACCTTGTCGGGCATCTTGCCGCGTCCTTTCCTTCTATTTACCTTTACTAAGTACCTACGTCCGCTCGTCAGTCCGACAGCTAACAGTATTGACCGCGTCCTTATTACTGCTTATACTATGAAACTATAAGATGATACGATATTGCCACGCAATGAAAGTTTACGTGGTGTGCAAAGATTATACGGAAGTGAATCTTTACCGTGGCACGACATTAACGCACGTGTACCTACCTACCAATCGAAGAACAATTGAAAGCTAATCACACTATTGGTAGTTAACAGTAGTTAACTTAAACATTAATAGTAAGCGTATCACTAATAAAGTACACAGTAGGTAAAAACTTGAGAAATGAAAACATGAATTAAATAACACACAGGAGCGCGCGTAAGAGTAATTATTGCCTATAAATCACATTCAATTTGGGATAATTTTAAATAAAAAAGAAGTCTTATTTACTCGTATTTTCAAAAAAAATTATATTGGTATATATTAATTAATATATTTGAACTTTAACATTAAATTTGAATAATTACACTGTATATAAAAACAAAAATCAAATTTTGTTTTATGTTTGTTCATTTTTGTTCGCCTTCTGGGCGTTTGTACTCCATTCAACCGAATAACAGAAAATTGTCATTGTTAGTGAGCATGTCCATGCTCGGCTCAGCTGGTTATTCAAAACTCGGATATCGAGCTGTTAATACAATTAGCAAGTTTTGAAAAGTGTGTTTGTTATTTGGCATGAGCTAAATTTATATTTTTATATTTTATCAACTCACAGAAGTTAACTGCTGGAAACTGCTGCAGGTAACAGCGCGCATCGTAACAAAATATTCATTGGATAGATAAAATCGAATATTAGGAGAATTGGGTCACAGCAATTGTTTACTATCGCGTAATCTGTGTACTCAGTACAATCTACTTATTACAAACTTTTAACAGACTGACAGCGGCAGTAAAAATAACCTGATGAGTGTTTTTGCGGGTTTTCATTTCAGATATAATAATATATTAGTTCTTGTCTTCAATCATGTTGGAAATGAAGAGCCAGATTTTTCTATTTTAATTAACTTAAATAAAATATTGTGTGAAAGAATAGTGTAACTGTTATATGTTTTGATGAGATGATATTTATTTGTTTAAAGGAGCCAAGAAAATCTACCAACAAATTCTCACAAGTAAAAATTAAACCATTGGAAAATGTGTGACCGCTTTACACCCTATATAGACGTGATAATAAAGAACTTTCGGAAAAACTTTATTCTTCGTCGGATATATTTTATTTTTTTATAAACGTTGTATTAGAATTAATGTAAAACGTATGATAATTTAGACGAGAAGTTGGTGAACACTGAATTACAACATTTCAATAAATATATACATAGATAGTTACAAACGTACATACAAATCAAGTTAAAAAATGTGTTAAAATATCTTCATCACTATCATTACACCCTCTCACAAATCCACTGGCGAATTTTGGCCTCACACAAGTAATGCTTAAAATAATAATAAAAATATTCCTCACCAAATTACGCTGTCCGTTCCATAAAAGACTTAAAGGGCCACCAGAGTCACCGTCACAAGTTCCGACTCCGCGTATTCCGTTCGTACACAAATGGCTACTGTGGATTGTAACCCCGAAGTTTCTCTGGCACTCTATATTGCTCATAACTGCGACTTGTACTTGATGCAGGGAAGTTGTAGTAGGGAAACTACTTTGTGCTGTAATTGTAAAGGATTTTAATAGGATGGTTGATAATACCAGTCTTTCCTAGTGATTTATTTATACTAAACATATTAATGACTAGCTGTGCCATCGACTTCATTCGAGTGGAACTAGTGCCTTTGTTATGATATTGATCATTATTTTCCGAGATATAAAAGGACACTTATCTTGATGAAAACATTCGATTAGTTAGTTAATTAGAAAAACTCACGAAGAAACAAATAGGTGGGTCCAAAAACGAACTAATGGATGGACCCACAAACGAATTAAAAGAAGAATTGGTCAAACTATTTGCTTGTGTTCCACACTGTAAATAAACAAAAAATGACCGCGATCACGTAAACCATCATTTGCTCCCCAAATTTCTCCAATCAACACTTGATTCCAACACAAAAGATAAGAGGCTGCCCTAAAGAAGCAAGCTCCGTCACCAAATATAGGTACTGTTGTATGAGTCACCATATTGCAAACAATATTAAAAATATTTGTAGTGGAAAAGTAATAATTCTAACCAAACGAATGAAATCAGGTATCTCTATCTATATTATAACTCATTCTGCACATAAATGAAAAATAAAACCGTAATCAACTGAGAAAAGCCTATTGACCTTTAAGTGGTAGGTGTGATCTAGCCCAAGATTAGTTGGATTTTCCATCAAGAAATTCCCAATAGAAGCCCGAGGTGAGGAATTAAGCGGTGTTTCATCCCAGTGTAACTTATTGCATCATATTTAACCAACAGATTGCAAAAAGTTGTTATTAATGGGAGAAGTTCTTCCAGATCGGTAGTATCTATGTCTCTCCCTTAGAACATAATACTCTCGTGACTCTCGCTTCGGGTTTTCCCCGAATTAAATGTAGTATTATGCCACGCTTCAATAGAATATTTTTTAATAAAATGATTTCTTTCGAAAAATTGTAATATAATTATATTATTAGAAGTAAAAATCTTTTGAATTTCTAGCCTATATAGATCATAAAACACATTTAACATTTAAACAGCTTTTTTATATATGAGCATAACAAAGTGTATTAAGATTTAATACTTATCTAATTTCAGTTTTACGAAAAGCCGTGAATTAAAAAATGAGTAGGTGATAGCGATAAAAATACCTAACTGTTAGCCTAACAACAGGAGTTGTATATGTTCATTGCTCTAATGAGATTCGCAGTTTATAGTTGATTGTGAAAATTAGTTGGCGTTACCTGAGACTCCTTTATCCGAGCCATCAAAACAAGTGATTTTCTACACAATACAGACATTTCATTCTGAGGATTGTCAAGGTGCATTTACATCAAAAGAAAGAAATCATTTTCATAAATTTATTAGAATGAAGAATCTCTTGTTGCGGAAAAATAATAAAAAACTTTCAAAAAGGTGGCAATATTAAGACGCCTATTTAAGTTAATGAAAGTAGATAAATCTGTTTACAGGAATATATATATACGTGTATTCATGAACGCCTATTCCATCATTCACAATGAAGCAACCATTTGGTTCATTTATTGCGTGCTGTCATTTAAAAATGTCCCAAAAAACAGTGGGATAGTCCGATCAACAAGATCAGGCTCGCCTTCTAGCTGTGTCGACAAAGGAATCTAGTCACTAACCAGTGTCTAGATTCCTTTGAAGAAACAGCACGCTCTACCATCAAGTAATCTCAGCACATTGCTTGATGGGGAGAGCTTGCGCATCGTCGTAGGAATCCGGCTTGTAGCGGCACTTTATCAACCTCAACAGTGCCCTTGTGGTAGCAGCGTCGATGAGTTTGGGTTTCACGGTCAAAAGTGCAGGTAGGTTTTCCCGTCACGGTTCTTTAAACGAAGTCATCCGAAGGGCTCTTGTCTACATAAATATCCCCTCGGTTTTAGAGCTATTCGGGACATTTAGAGACGATGGCAAGAGACCCGACGGTATGACTGTGGTCCCTTGGGAAAGAGGTAAAGCCCTAGTTTAGTTTTAATTTTATTAATTATAGGGTCCCAAGTAGGTGCTAGTACCCAGCCTCCTTTTTTTGAAATTAGGATGTTTATAATTTAAATAGCCTCACGTATAATCCTTGGTAGGAATCGATGTTCTTTGGCGAGGATTTGTGGTCTATCAACTCTGATGTAATGGTTGGGGCAGTCTAGGATATGATCACAAACTTCCCGGAACGTTGATGTGTCATGTCAGCTATGTATTCTTTTACGCGGGTTCTAATTGATCTGTTTGTTTGCCCTATATATGAGAGACCACAATCACAATCAAGCTTGTACACTTCTGCATCTTGTAGAGGAATATAACACTTGACGGATGGTAAGAACTGACTAATCTTCTTCAGCGGCTTGTAGAATGTTATAATAGAAGCTCGCTTCAAGATGTAGCCAATTTTGTCTGTGATACCTCTGACATATGGTAGTACAGCAGGCATACGCTCGACTGTGGCCGGCTTCACTCGATCGCTATAACATAGGCGCAGGACCCGCGAATAAACGCTATAAAATCCGTAAAAGTAGTTTTAATCGATGTTTAATGTTCACGTAAAATAAGAAGTAATTAAGTTAGTTAATAGATTGTGTCAGGTCACCGCGTGAAAGGCAAGACGATGGACACTTCCCTTCTTCAATAAACCCTTTCAGAAATATGAGAATGCCTATACGCAGCAGAGGGCCATATATGCCTGTATATGTTACTTTAATTTTTAATTGAGGGTGAATATTACTCTCTTTTTGCCTTTTAACAAGCGTTGTTAAAAAAAATTATATCACAACCAATTAACTGTAAATATATTTCAAAAAAATATATCTATATACAATAATTTCCTATATTTACGCGAAGCGCGATGACATTTTTATTTAAATATGCATCTATATAATAAAGTTAAAACTGGTATATTAGCTATTTTTTTCTACGGGTAATATAAATATGAGCAATAATAATTATGAAAATACATCATAAAATTAGAGAAACCATCCGCTTCTTTGTGTCGGCGAAGATAGATAAAAGTTAAAAATAATATATTTTCATGAAATGTTAACAACATTGTTTTGAAAGCTCCTTACAAAAGCTATTGAAATGATGTATTTAGTATTATAAATCATAACTCCTGTGTAATAAAAATAATGATTTGCCGTGTTATGTGCATGGTATGCCATTCTTTAAAATACTTATAGCGCCATCTAGGTATTAGGAGTAAGTAATTAGTTGAATACTAAAATAAAAACTATTGTATTTAGAAAATAACGGGTATAATTTATTTAACATCAACTCTCAATTGGATAACATAAATTCAAAATTCCACGACAATGCAAATTACAAAACTCGTAGCTGCAAAAGTGAACATTATGCCTACTGCGCAGCTCTATTGATAGTGTGAGATACACACACACACACACACACACACACACACACACACAACCACACACACACACACACATATATATATATATATATATATATATACATATATATATATATATATATATATATATATATATATATGTGTGTGTGTGTGTGTGTGTGTGTGTGTGTGTGTGTGTGTGTGTGTGTGTGTGTGTGTGTGTGTCTGTGTGTGTGTGTGTGTGTGTGTGTGTGTGTGTGTACTTAACGGTTTAACCCTTACGTAACACCGAAGTTTCAGTCCTATCCAAATCCATTTACAGGTGTGATGTTTGTGCAGGCAGACAGCTAACGTTTCCAAAAAAAAAAATGGCATCTGTATCGATAACATCATACCCCAATTCAAATTAAAAAAAGTTCAATTTAAAGTAAAGTCGTAGTAGAGTGTTACTATAATATTGACAGATATCGATGGACGATGTTGAACCATTATAGTAATATCAGCCGTTGCTTTTATTACAGCTTATCAAAATTCACTGCTGGACATAGGTCTCTGCCATTATTTGCCTCACATGGGATATAGTTGCCACACTTAGTGATTGTGATTGTTGCCTCAGTTTTTATCATCATTTTTGTAAATAAAGGTATTTGCTTACCATCGCTTGTTTTTCCGTACCCGGAAGCGGTGGCTGTAAGTCCAGCGAAATTTTGGTTTAATTCCCTGGTTGGCAGTGAAATAGGCTGAATATTATCTGTAGAACAAAGATAGTGGTTACTTTTTACCAAATAGACACACAGATAACGGAGATATTTTCCTGGATTGAAAATGAATATAAAATATTTTCATCCATATGAAAGTTTTAGTGTTTCATTCATATTTTGAGTATTTTTTGTAAAAAATAGAGTGATTAACAAATTATGTATTATGAGTTTAATTAATGATTACTATGGCGGCCCATAGACAACTGTAGCCGACTTTTAAGTTGAAGGTTACAGATGTTTATATAATCTTTGAGAACCAAGATGAAATGCTTTGAACCCTATAATTATGGTGGCGCTGCATATTCTTCAGACCGCAACACCACAATACGGGTGCTACTAATTTGAAAACAGAAACAGGTAAGAGGGACTCATATAGACTCCTAGGCAGACAGTGAAATCCTACCACGTACGTTGGTTTTCGACCTATGGCTGCTACCGCAGAAATACAGGAAGCGGAATTTCGTACCCAAACCCAAATAATATTTTCTTCCGAAACGAATTTTTGTCACAGCGGCTAGTCTCAATACACAATAGCGTGTAGGACAAGACTGTGGTGTACGAGTACACCAGATTCAAGCTTCATGCTTACAACCAGTGGTCTACTGGTAAACCACTGGTTGTAATAAGGAGGCAGTGAGCTGGGATCTTAATATACATAAAATTTATAATATATTAGGCACTAATGATTGCCATAAAGCATGACTCTGTGTCACTTGTATCTATACTATACGCATGCTGTGGGAGACATTATTCCCCTGTGTAGGAGTAATGTTATCTCTCTCACAAGAGAATTAACTCTCTATCAAAGATTTAAAGTCACATCTACGTGTATCTTGTCTTTGTACATCAATATTGCACAAGGTTCTCAAACCGAAAAAAAAAACATTTAATTTTATATAGATCGAAAGCCCTTCAGGTAAGGTCATTCAGAGAACCATTACGAGCCAACCAGTCAGCGTGTCCTTAATTATTGACGTTCTTTTTTCTTTTCTTTTTTTCTTTAAAAAAACCCCGCACTATGATTTTCTCCTGTATCGTGGAGGCAAACTACAAACATACCCCAAACAATTATTTGAAGGCCATACAAATACTTGTTCCGTGCGGGATTCGAAACCGCGGCTCCCAGCGCAGCCACTCATTGCTAAGCCACTGCACCAAGGAACCGTCAGCCGTAACATTAAATAGGTAATAATTCATAATATTATATATTGAAAGCTACTCACTATTGAAAACGACTCTAGGAATTTTTACTATAGCGATATCGTTAAGTATATTTCTCGGATTCCAAGATGGGTGTACTACTACGTCTCTGGTTTCCAACCTTGTCCCTCCAGAGAAAATTCGAGTAGACCCCAGAACAATGGTAAATTTTTGGGCTGGAATGTGACCATCCCACCAACAGTGCGCAGCCGTAAGGATCCTTGTATTAGAAATTAGACTTCCTCGGCATATAGACGTCTGTCGTGTTGTGAGTGTAGCTATTATACCAGCCTAAAAATAAATAACGTTGTTTTCACAATTTAACTCAAAATACTACTTGTATATTTAAACGTAGATATCATACGAATAGAAAAGAACAGAAAATAATAAATTTAACATGGATTGCATATAATCTTTATTGCAAGTCATGCTTTTATCGCTGGTTCGGAAAAGATTCCTGTCCTGAGAAGAACTCCTGTTTTGAAACGCAGCGGGATTATATTTTTAATAATAATTTATATTAGATTACAATGGAGTACAATTAATTATAAATTATAAATAGCATTCTAGCAATCAACTAATTCCCAGGCTTTCACGTATTTTTTATTAATAACCTTTTTTTGTTATTGCTTTTGATAAATAAAAATTGTGCCGTTTTGGTCGATAAGCCCTGCATATGCTCCGGAGCGTTGTTGTAAAAGCTTATACAATGCCCTATGAAGAAATTAAGGGCTCTTTTAGAATCGAGTAAAATTTTTATGTTTTTATAAAAGGTAAGGCCACCTGCTACTATGCCACCTTTTTTAAAAACATAAAAATTCTTACCTTTAACCATTTCACTGTTTCGTGATTTATATATAAAAATTTTGGTTGTTTAGCTATAGGGAATTTTACATTCTTGAACACCTATTATTAGAGACGGTCTACTGTTAATTTACGGTAATTTTAATAATATTGTCAATTAAGAAACGTATAATATATAAAACTATTTTAAAACTATGTATATTTTGAAATAAAAAGTAACATACCTTTTATAAACACTAGGTAGGCCCTTAATTTCTTCATAGGGCATTTTATAAGCTTTTACAAGAACGCTCCGGAGAATATGCAGGGATTATCGACCAAAACGGTACATTTTTTATTTATCAAAAGCAATAACAAAAAAAGGTTATTAATAAAAAATACATGACAGCCTGGGAATTAGTTGATTGCTAGAATGCTATTTATAATGTATAATTAATTGTACTCCATTGTAATCTAATATAAATTATTATTAAAATATAATCCCGCTGCGTTTCAAAACAAAATAACACCACAGAAAATTCACCCTAACAACAATGACTTGAATAGGGAAGAATTTTTTCGTCCATAACAACTTTACAATAATGCATCAAAATATTGCCGGACTTCTTAATAAATTTGATTATTTAAAAGCCGCACTGGAAGAATACAAGGATATAAAGTTAGACATACAAGTTTTATGCTTGAGTGAAACGTTTATTCAAAGTGGCGACGAAGTAAATCTTAAAATACCGAATTACAATTAGCTGCTTACTATTCACGAAATTGCGAAAAAAGGGGTGGTTCATTCATCTTAGTCAAAAACCACTTTAACTCAAGAATACTCAAAATTTGCAGAGAATTATCACTATCTACGAGCTTTGAGTGCTGCGGTGCAGAAATACCTAAGTACAAATTGATAGTTGTTAACATTTATTGGACACCGGACTCTGACGTAAATCTGTTTTTATGAAACTCCAAGAACTTTTGCATAACTTACTTTAAAGTAAACCCAAACATAAAATAGTTCTGAATGGCGATTGGAATATAGACATATTAAAACCAACTCGACAAAAACAAACAAAACTCTTAAATGATTGAAATAATACTAGTTTTTACGGAATTTATCGCGTATATTTAACTTTTTAAATACCCGACGTTTCAAACGCTTTACAGCACTCATGGTCACGGGCGGGACTGAGATGTTCAACGTCCATATGTCATAGTTAACCGCGGTTACCATAGATTAAAATTTAACTTTTGTTCCGATCTATGCAGTATGAACTTATGGTATCTTGAAGTCTTGCAGTTGTATGCTTGGGTTGGGATTTAATTTTATTTATTATAGGATCACAAGCAGATGGCAGCACCCAGCCATCTATTGAAATTAGGATGTTTTTTGATTTCAATAGCCTCACGAATCATCCTTGGAAGGAATCGGTGTTCTTTAGCGAGGATTTGCGGTCTATCAAATCTGATGTAGTGACGGGGGCGATCCTGTACGTGTCACATTATATACACATGACGAACCTAGAATAGGACAATTTCTGGTAAAATTAACATTCCATTCAATATAAATTCAATATTCCTAAAAACTAATAAAATGGAAATAGCTACTATTATTTTATCGCTTAAAAACAGCAATGCAGTTGGACATGATGGTATATAAATATACATGTACTAAAGGCATGTGCGAGGGATTTAAGCCGACCTCTTACCCATGTAATTAATTTGACAATGGAACAGGGATCATTCCCCGATATCCTTAAGTTATGTATTGTTAATCCAATATACAAGAAGGGCGATAAATGTGATATGAATAACTATAGACCGATAACTCTTATTCCAATACTATCTAAAATCTATGAAAAAGTAATATTTAAGCGTATTGATAGCTTTATTATATCAAATAATATACTGAAAGAAGAACAGTATGGTTTTCTCAAAGGTTACTCTACTACATTGGCTTGCTTCAATCTGATGCATTATATCACTGAATGTATTAATCAAAAGATACCACTTATTGCTTTATTTCTAGACAGGAGCAAAGCTTTTGACTTTGTTCCACATAAAAGATTACTGGATAAACTCTATCGATATGGTATTAGAGGTAACGCTTATGACTGGTTGGAAAGTTATTTGTATAATAGACAGCAATGTATTGAGATAGCAACAGTCGTTGAATCCAGATAGTGTACTTTCCGGTCAAAGTATGTGTCAACCCATGTGGAGTTCCACACGGCAGTATCTTGGGGCTCCTGTTGTTTTTGATATTTATTAACGACTTACCAAATGCAACTCAATATAAATGTTACATGTTTGCAGACGACGCTACCGTAGTAATAAAATGTGACGAAATAGAAAAATCCAATGTCATTATTAATGAGACTTTGCACAACCTAATCAATTGGTACATTACACAGTACATTGCTACATTCAAACAGTCTCAAAATAAACATACAAAAAACAAAGGGAATCCAGTTTACTACTTACAAAGCGAGGTCAATGGATGTGCTAGTCGATTATTGCGGTAATATTGTTGAAATTGTTAATGAAGCTAAATTTCATGGATTTACTTTAGATAAACACTGTGACTGGAAAGCACATATAGACAATCTATGTACGAAAATAAATAAAGTTGTATACGCGCTACGACGACTCAGTAATATATCATCCATTGAAACAGCTCTATCGGCCTACCATGGCTATGTGTCATCACTATTAAGTTACGGTATTATATTGTGGGGAGGTTCAGCGGATGTAAAACGGGCTTTCATAGCCCAAAATAAATGTATTAACTATTTGCAGAGTACATTTTCTCGAAAGCTGTAAACCCCTTTTCAATAAATTTGTAATCCTACCGCTACCGTGCCTGTATATAAAACAAATGTGTATTTTTGTACGACAACATTCTCATTATTTTGTCACTAGAGAGCAAAGCAAAAATAAACCTACCAGACATTGAGAAAGAATCATGCACCGTAAAATAAGACTTACTACAACAACAACACTTATTACAACTATAAAGAAGAAGCTCTTATTGTATGGCTATTAAAATTTATAATAAGCTTCATCCAAGTCTCAAAGCTCTGCCGTTACCATTGTTTAAAAGAAAGTTACATTCCTAGCTTTTCACTAGGTGCTTTATTCAGTCCAAGAATACTTAGATGACCAAGAGGTTTTTAAATTTTAACTGTATTTGTAGCTTTTCTGTGTATACTTTATTTTATGGCTTGAATAATTTGACATAAAATATTATACAATTTATAAATGATGACATATAATGTTCTGTCTGTGATTCGTGTTAACCGTTAGTTTTCAGTTTAGTCTATTAACTTATTTTAAGCTCTAAGTAGACTAAAATATAACTACTTTTAAATGTAATTACTTTTTAAATTTGAATGACAATTATAAGTCAAACTTGAGGATATCCATTATGTTAACATCTTTGCACTACCATGTTTAAAGCAAATAAAAAATTACTGATTTCTGATTACATCCGTTTTTACATATCAACGGAGGTACTTTGGGGCCCAAGTCTTACTCTGATCAGTTTGAAAAGACACTGAAAACTTGTGAACAAATGCCAATTAAGAAATTCCAACCCATTGAAGCAGAATCACTCCCAAAAATGCACCAGATTTGAGCACAGATCAATAGTACTTGCACGAAATCGTCTTCGCGGTACAACTAAATTCTTTTCCAGAAGATCTAGTAAACAGGTCTCCATGTATGTACTTCATCATCACATTCTTTTACACAATCTCATGCTGAATTGAATCCTACATTTGTATGTAGTAACAGAGAAACAATCAGAGAACTGATTGCACTGGCTACACATGTCGTAAAAGTTACCGCTCCAGTTTGGTTCTCGATTAAGATTAAACCATCATGTAAAGATAGAGCTCAACATTTATTTAAAATTATATTAGCCTCCAGGTATTAGAAAAAGTGATCGAACCCGATATTCAACGCAATAGCTACTTCGCACATCCTGAGAATTTTACTACTTGCAATGATTACAGATGATAAAAAGCACTTTCGTGAATTGGCAACCCGGCGTATATTAAAAGCACAGAGTATACAGCAATCCCCTGCACCAAGGTTATTTAAGATGCCTGATATTAATTTCAGCGCAACAACAATTGATATTATAAATTGGCAACTCACCAGTACTGAATCGCCGATATTGAAATACTTAAGTGACCAAGAAATTCAGAAAATAGTCCAATCTGGTAGTGAGGGTGAAATTTTGTTTTTAAGTCTCCCATGTCATACCCAGACTTTTGAGTGAATTGTGAAGTTGACGACAGACGCGGCTATTTCTCATTGTAATCATGATTCGGGGCCAAAAAAGCCAAATTGTAATCCCGTAAGAAAATGCCAAAATTCAAGACGAAGAGAGATTTTAAGGCAAATTGACGATTTGATTTTTTAAAACATATGATTGATTTTTTTTTCACTTTTCCATTAAAATACATTATAAGTATTCTAGTTATATAATTGAATTTCATTTTTAATCTCTAGTTAACTCTTATTTTATTATTTGTCTTGGCCTAAACATACTAAACTTTTTCGATAAAAAATTAAAGTTTAAGGCCCATGCGGATGCAGATGTTGTTCATTTGAGCTGAAAAAAAATCTAATCATAATGACTAAGCCCGCGCTGTTACGATTTAAAATAAGAGTTTTTTTTTCATATAACGGTGCTCCACCCTAGTAACCACAGTCACTTTCATTTCTAGTAGTGAAGAAGCAAGAAACGCTTCTGTGTTTTATATTACAAGTGATACGAAACGAAGATTTTAATGGGTGATGCCATTAATAAAATATCCTAAATAATAATTGGAAAGGAATAGCCTATAAAACATCAAAGTATACGCAGTACGCATGAGCTATAATAAAAAAAAAACAATGAAAAATTAACTCTAGTAAATGTATCGTACACTCAAGTAGACCAATCTCCACAAACAGTACTTGTTCATAAGTAAGGCATGGGGACTCCTCGATTATTTTATAGGGAAGTGACCAACTACCCAAAGAACTACTACTAGAAAGAACTACGCAAATCAAGTAAATAAGCCAACCATAAGTACCACGTTTAGCCCAAAATATGGATTTCAATGAGACATTGTGAAGGAATTGATAGATGCCTAGCCCATCGTCTATAAAATCACATATCTAAAATATCGCATTAGCTTCTTCGTCTTTAATGACATGATAAGCAAGTAACATAGTGGGCACACTCTTTTTTGTTATACGTGCCAGGATAACATAAGATCAGACTACTTTTAATAATTTAAATAAAAAAATTGTAAATTTAAAATTAAAACTTGAAGTCTTACCTGATAAGGTAGCAAAGAAATTGCCGCCACTTGGGAGCCTCCCACAATTCGCGATGTCCTTTCTGATAGTCTCAATGATATTGCTCTGGGAATTCCTACAAGTTCGTGATAGCCAGATATCGATTTACATTTTACTTCAATGTTAGTACAAAATAAAAATATTGTGAGATATTTCGTGAAATTCATTTTATTCGAGTTGAATATTCACAGTTGAAAATTCAAGAAATGTCAATTAGTAATGAAATCATCCAGCTGGTATAATATCTGTTATAAATAGTCTTGAACGTAATTATCTATTTATTATCTATTTATTATCTTTGGTTTTTACTTTGATACCTTTATCACATTGATAACTAAAATCATTATATAATCATATCTAAATCTGTACTTAATTAATAATTTCAATTCTTTAATATCAATACTTGCTTTATGATAAGTATCCTGTCTGCCACCTTCTAAGGAAATTAGTATTTTAAAATTAATTAAAGAATCCATATGATCGTAACAATGTTATAGGTGTACAAAATTATATAAGCCTTATCAATGAGACATTCAGTCACAAATTGACTAATTAATTATAAAAAATAATTAATAATTTTCTTTTCTTTAAGGAACATATTATACACTCCACGACGAAAGAGAAGTTGCTATTTCTACAAGGCTGATTTCTGGAGAGATTGACCTCATAAGACAAGTAGAGAGTATTTAGATCAATATATACATACTTATTCATTTTTTGTATTTTTATATATAAGCACATATAGGTACTTTTTATCAACTTCTTCTATTTTGATTATTGCTGCACCACTTTTTACATATTTATTTCTTTTAAGCCTTATGGTTGACTGGAAGAGAATGCTCTATGAAATTAAGTCCACCATATGAACTGAAATATTTTACTTAAGAAAATAGGTATCAAAATCTACATTAAAGCATTGATTACTAAATTTAATATTATTAGATTCAGGAAGGTCAATTTGCAGCAACTAATAAATACTTAATAATTCTTGTGGACTGTTGTAATAAATTTATTTCTACTTTTTAAGGAGAAACATTGGCAGTCAAGAAAAAGACCAAATGGTCCGAAGGTTGAAAATAAGCTGCTTAAACGAATTATTGCATTTAAAATAAAAAACTGCGAAATGAAAAATATTATTGCGAAACAGAAAGTTTGAAACGCAAATTTTGGAACTAGAAGAGTGGGCACTAGAAGGGATCGAAGTTTTGTTTAAAAAAAATGGAAATTAATTTTGGCATTAAATCAGTGTGGTTATGTCATCTAAATTAGGACCCACTGAAAAATTGAAACCATGGGTGCCGCAATATTAATACAACTTGTGACCAATTTGAGGCAGCTTTTTCTATATTTTTGATTAATAATTTATGTTGTGTCCACACTCATCGTAAAAACTGTGGACTATATTATTGTAATGCTTTGCACACTATTATCGTTAATAAAAACTTAAAGGCATCGTCAACCTGCACATTTAATTTCACACATTTTTGGAAATAAACTTCATTCCAACTTCAATAACTATATAAAATAAATATACAAATAACTAAATAATTAACATATATAACATATAATTGCGCCATTAAAAATTAATTGGATAATTCTTTAAAAAATCAAATTTTTAGACATTGTGTTATATAATAAAACAACGTGACTGTTCTGTTCATTCTTGTATTCGCTGATACAAGAATGAACAGAACTATATTTTCAAAAGACAAAAGTAAAGAATCACGTATACAACATTTGTACACACTTTGGTTTGAGATGTCGCTAGTAGTAGGTACATAATCTCTATTTTGCTATTTATAATACTCCCACTCAAAATATAGATATTAAAAAAAACTATATAAACAAAAGAAACATTTACACATTAACAATTCCTAAAGTATTCAAATGTTTATAATGTTTTACAGCAGCTAGACTTTTTTTTTTTCAACAAATCTGCAGGCATATTTGATGTACATAGATAATTAACACTTATAATGTTTTCATTAATTAATTCTCTACAATAGTGATATCTGACATATATATGCTTCGTTTTATTATGGAATACAGGGTTTAACAACAATTTCTGTGCGCTCATACTATCATTATATAAAATGATTTTATACATCCTTTTAGTAAGTTTAACGTCACATCTATGCCGATGATTTTAGAGTACTATGCTCGAATTTGACGATGAGTATGTTTACCTGGAACAAATAGTCCGATTAGGTAAGTCTAACTTCGAACGAGAAGTCAATCAACGAATTCGACTCGGCTGGACAGCGTTTGCTAGATTATGAAACGTCCTTTTGTGAGGCATAACTCAAAATATATAGATTGTATAACTAGTTCATGTTTTCAGTGAAGACCTATGGATTTGAGACGTGGTGCTTCAATGCTGGCGGTATGACGAAGCTCATTGTAACTTAGCAAGCTATGGAAAGGGTTATGCTCGAGGTTTCTCTACGTGATAAAGTTAGGAATGAGGATATCCGCAGTAGAACTAGAATGAATAATATTGCCCAACGAATTAGTAAGCTGAAGTGGCAGTGGGCCTGCCATATAGCTCGAAAAACCAGTAACCGATGGGTAAGAAAATGTCTCGGTTGGCAGCCTCGAACCGACTGGCGAATTGTAGGGTGTTCCTCTACTAGATGGAGTGACTACCCTTATGAAATGCAGGAAGTTGATGGATGCAAGTGGCTCAGGAATGTACTTTATAACAATCCTTGGGAGAGGCCTATGTTCAGCAGTAAACTTGTAAAGGGCTATAGTGATTAATATATTGAATGGTGATGGATAAGAAAAGGAATAGCTAATTCTTTTCACATTTTTGCATCATTAGGTAATGCGTCCAAAGCTGGCTAATAGGGTGGTCTTCTTAGCATGTTCCCAACGCGACACTGCAATCATGAAAGTAATCTACAGCTTACTAAATTGAACAATGTAGTGGTAATGTTAAGTACACTTTTATAGGTTAAATCTGTTTGATACATGGAGCAAGGCGGATTTTTTTTATAGAATAGGGTGACAAACGAGCACGCAGTCCACCTGATGGTAAGTGGTAGCTGCGGCCCAGACACATCTACATCTATCCTCCATTAAAAAATCAAAATGCAGATGCGTTGTCACCCGTGAGGACTGAGATGGAATGCCTCGTTTCCAGTAAAAAGGGTCTCCGGTTCTCTACACTCACCATACGAAATACAGCAGCATTAAGCTACTATTTCACGCTGGTATTCTGTGAGAGCGTGGTCCCTCCCCGGTCGAGCCGACCCATACGTGCTACAACTATACTACTAATGTAACTGCAGCATGGCTCTACCACGTAAGATCAGAAAGGAGGAGCCATATTATGCAGGCTTTTCTCACTGTTAAATAAAAAATGCAAGCGATCATATGTGTACAATATAACTAATGTGTTGCAGTAGCACTGCTAACAAGACTAAATCTAGTTGCGCGGCCGAATCTACGTCCTACGAAAATGCCACGTAAAATTTACAAAAAGATTACTCATATGTAATTGCAAAAAAAAAACATATGTAAGTTTTAATCACATTATTGCTATTTAATTCTTTTTAAATTTAATAATTTGATAGGTAACTTCTTGTTTCAAATTTGTTTACCAACACTTGCACTTGCCCTCATAAAATATGCGTATCGTTGGAGCGAATGACCCGAGTCTGTATTTCACTTGTCACTTATACCAAGCGACAGTGTTACAAAATATTTATGTGAGTTTGAAATTGTTAGCTTATAATTTTAATTGTTTTGTATGAGTTTCGTGTGACAAACGATTGTTTTAAGTGCGCAGATTACCCCCTTGCAAAAATGGCAGACAATTCTGTATAGGAAACAAACGCTATGGCTACTCTGCTCCTGATCGCCGTTAGCCGGTTTTGTTCTGATATAAATGAAATTTATTACGCGATATTAAAAAAAATTAAGACTTGTGTTGAGAAATTGAGGTTTTTTCCTCTTTTATAATTTCTTTAAATAACTAACGTTCAGAAAGTAATAAAATAAATTAAAAATACGCGACCACGCTCTCACACCAGCGTTAAGCTGCTGATTTTCTAGCTCGTATTCTACTAGCTTAAAATAGCGGAGTAACGTTGCTGTGTTTCGTATGGTAAGAGTACCGAAGACCGTTTTTTGACTAGAGGAGCTGATTAGATCATAGAATTGATCAAAATAAGGGTATCAAATTGTTGAATTTATCTAGTGAATTTCTGTTGCCTAAGCAATCCAACTTTATCGTGGAAATTATGCTGTTAACTAAGCACAACAACGGGGTGAGTTACGTTAGATTAAACTAATAAATTAAGAAATTCGCAAATAAGAAAAATCTATATTAATGTGCATAAAAATGCTTTGTATACTTCACATGCTTATCTTTTTTTTAAGAGAATATATATATTTCTGTACTCCTTCTTCATATACACTTTAACTATGCCAAGTCTCCCACTCCTTCTTGGGCGCAAAATGCTCAAAAAAGGGTACAAAGTTTTATCTTCACGTATTAATATGTAGACTCTCGTATTTTTTAGATAAGATTAAGATGTGTTAAAAAGAAATATGTTAAGCTATTGCATAGCTTCTATCGCGGGCCTTGAGCGCGGGGACCGAATCCAGAAATTCCGTAACGAAAAAAACCTCACGCTCCCCACTCCGACGGGCACGGAGTAGTGGCGTTGAAAGCCGTGCATCGTCTAACGTCGTTTCAGTTCGGCAGACTTCGGCACTCGGCAGACTTCGGCACGGTGTTTGTGTGCGTGCGACTAGACGTATGCGTGTATACTAGCTGCTAACTCAATGATAAAAATTCCTGAATAACTTACATGTATTGTAAGATATTAAAAATATTTTAAACAATATTAACTTCTCATTTATTCAATAAGAGAAAAAAAAATTGTTTTCTTATCGGTCACCACGCTCAAAAAGAGTAACTTGATTTAATATCAAAGACTTAACTGCATAAATAAAATAAATAAATAATTATAATTGCATAAGTTGATAAAAAATGCTATGCAATAGCTTTACCGCGGCAGTCACCGAGTGGCATACGTATTTTTTTTTGTAGTAATACTTTGTTACAAATACACCTCACTGCACACAATTAAACACTAAAATACATTATTTTGCATTTCGTGGAGTTAATGAACGATACATCATTTAACAGAAACGA